ACTTTCTGGATAGAATGCAGAATTAGAAAGCAACAATATTGTTCTGAATTTTCCTTTTTCTTAACGACGTTAGAAAAAAACTAAATCGATTTAAAATTTTTTTTTCTGCAATCAAATCACATAATTTCTTTAATACAAGTAAATCTGAGGTGTTGATTAATGTAGTTTTTTGACTGGACCGGTATTATCTTATTGCGTTATATTCATAGAATTAAAAGTGTATCATTTTTCAAATCATAATATTCTCGTCAAATGTTGTTTTCGTAACATTAGTAATTTAAATTTTTTAAAACTATATCCAATGCAAAACAAATAAATCTCTTTGCAATTCCATAAGTAATAGTGCTTTAATATTATTATGGTATACTATTTTATTTTATTATCTTAAAAACTGTCGTATATAGAAAAACATTGATTTCGAATCTTTTTATTGGCGGTCTAATCACATAATTTCTTTAATGTAACTAGGTCTGAGATATGTCTAATACTTAGAATTAAAAGTGTATCATTTTTCAAATCATAATATTCTCGTCAAATGTTGTTTTCGTAACATTAGTAATTTAAATTTTTAAACACTACATCCAATGCAAACGAAATAAATCTCTTTGCAATTCCATAAGTAACAGTGCTTTAACACTAGAACTACCGACAATTATAGTGTGTTTATTTGTATCAAGGAAATTGAAACGATAGGTGCGTGAAGAAATGTATAATGCAATGGAAATAAGTGTTTATTAATTCTCTTATGGAAAATGACGACAAATTTCATAAAAATTCAGTCGAGTAAATTTTTTACAGCTTTTATTAGAAATTACGAATGGGTCATTTTGACTGGTTTGGTAGTTCTAGTGTTAATATTATTATGGTATACATTGTGTAGAATATGTCCCCGGAATTTCTCACTTTCAAATCCCATAGTGCATGTATTGAAACAAATTTTGTGTGTGTAAGTGGACAACATTGTATTCAGTTGTTACGCAAAATTTGATCGCAATATGACAACCAGTGTGACAGCGGTAGTTGTTTACACCGATCGATCTCGAGTGTGCTCTGCGATTTTTGCGATGAAAAGAACTGTCGAGCAAAGAATTTCCCTTAAATTTTGTGTTTCTAACGAAATTTCTTGCGTCGAAGCGTTTAAAATGGTACAGAAAGTCTATGGTAAGCCGTGTCTATCAAAAACGTAAACATACGAATGGTACAAGGCATTTAAAGAGGGCCGAGAAGAAGTGCAAGATTTGCCGCGCGCCGGCCGACCGTCAATGGTTTCAACTGACGAAAACATCAAAAAGATATAAAAAAAGGTCATCGATAATCGTCGCCCGAGTGTTCGAGAGGTGGCTTATGAAATGGAAATGTCTCACATGTCCGTGCATAACATTTTAACTGAAGTTTTGGGCATGAGACGCGTCGCTGCAGGACTTGTTCCGAAGGAGCTGAATTTTCTGCAAAAAGAACATCGAAAAGCAGTTGCCGAAGACATGATTTCACGAGCTTCTAGTGACTTTACCTTTATGAAACGCATCATAACCGGTGACGAAACATGGATTTATGAGTACGATATGCAAACAAGTCAACAATCTTTGGAATATCGCTTAGAAAATGAACGAAACCCTAAAAAACCGCGTCAAAGTCGCTCGAAAATTAAGGTCATGCTCACTGTTTTCTTTGATTATCGTGGTGTTGTTCATTCGGAATTCCTTCCAGATGGACAAACAGTAAATAAAGAATATTATTTGAGAGTCGTGGGACGCTTGCGTGAAAATATTCGTCGGAAACGGTCCAGATGTGTGGTAAAACAATTCTTGAATCCTGCATCACGATAATGCTCCGTCGCACACATCGATCTACATAGGTACGCGAATTTTTGGCCAAGAACTCAACAAATGTGATCGAACAAGCACCGTATTCACCAGATATGGCCCCCTGTGACTTTTTCTTATTTCCGAAACTCAAATTACCCCATCGGGAAAGGCGTTTTGAGTCGATAGAGGCCATAAAAGAAAATTCGCAGAAGGAGCTGAAGGCACTCCTTCTTCAGCGTTTAAAAAGTGTTTTGAAGACTGGGAGAAGCGCTGACGTACATATGTGCATTGCTCTTGATGGGGCCTACTTTGAAGGCGATAAAATAAATTTGGATGATTACGTAAGCAATTTGAGTTTTATTTACAAATTGTACTATTTTATTTCATTGTCTTAAAAACTGTCGTATATACATAGAAGAAAAATGACAGTTTCCGTGTTACGAATCGCAGACAAAATTCGCGGGTAGCACTAGGCTACAAATGGCTATGAAATTCAAGTCAAAAGCGCAGAAACGAAAACGAACAATGCAAAAGAACATCAATCCGGAACTGCTGGAAAGCGGAATCCGTATTTCATACATCGAACAAATTGCAGAAATGCCGGAGGCGCTAATATACCAGGGAGTAACGGTGGGGCAGTGTTTTTTCGGAACGTTCGCTGTTGAAAAATATTTTGCTGAAAGCTAATATCTATCTGAGCCGATATTCGTCCGTGTAAATACTACCCTCGTTCCTAGGGGTAACAAAGCAGTCACTGACGTTAGCCGAATCTACCAAAGAGTCCAGAAAAATAAACGTGCACGCGGGTCCACGTTCTTCCACGCATCAACATATTTTTTTCTACGGCGGCTGGAGTGGGAGACGAAACATGTTTTACAAACCGACAACGATATCTCGCCCCCGATTACCTTGCACGTCCGCGAAAAAAACGAATGCCACGTTTTAACGAGTAATTTCTCTCGACGGCTGATAATTAAGCCTCAAAGGCGCGGTTAGAGATACGCACGCTGGCTGTCATGCACAAAGTGTTCCGCCGAACTGGGACGTGCCCAGTCGTGGAAACAGTTCGAGATACGAAAAAAGGGACATAAAGAAAATTTAAATGTGGTTTGGATAAATACCTGTGTTGCTATTAAGCAATTTTGGTTCGTGCGTGCGGTTGCTAAACGTTGCGTCTTTCACTAAAATTTAACCTCGTATCTTTCAATGCATTCCTTTCATGCAGTATTTTATACTATAGAAAAAGGCAAATATTCTTTTGGAAAACTGTTTCAAACATACTTCAATTCTAATTTCTTTCGTCCAAGAATCTTTTTAAAAAGCCTCTAAAACAAATATTTAGCAAATGTATCTAACCCATATTGTAGTATCATAAAAAATATAAATAAAATCAACGTTAGAGAGATCACATCGTCTGTGAATATTTAACAGATTTTAAGTACAATTATCGAAGTATTACTAAATATATGAATCCATGAAATTCGTTTAATAATATTTTATTGCAATATAAAATTGAAATAATATTGTACCAAACAGTGTACCAAATAATAGATGACTGCACACGTTTCCAAATTTAAACAATTACGAAGGTTTGTGAAAAATTAAGATACACTTTTGACCTTTCTCACTCATTTTTTTGTTTCTTCCCATTCTTGGACGAATTGAGAAATGAATCAGTGGTCAGGTTAAAAAAATGCTATTCCTAACACGTACCACGGAATTAAATCATGAAACAGTTCGTACATGCACATTTTCCTTCTCGAATTTCTGTATTACTTTTTATTTAACCAATTCTTTCCATATAAGTTAATTATAATGCCTACTGTTTATATTACTGTACCTTTTTCGGTTTTATTTTCGCTTATATGTACGTATTATTGTTATTTAACTTACGTTCTTTCTTTGCATTCATATATTTCTCCTATTTTCATACATGCATTTATTATACATTATAAAATTATTTTGTTCGTTTAATTCCTGATAATTGTCGAAGTACAAATATAAACAAGACATCTTTACATCATTGTTTTACTTCAGTTCGTACCCAATTTTAATTATAAATAAAAATCTGTAGTCCAGAATCAATATACACCTTCTACATATAGCAACATTAATATTAACTCCACGTAGTATGTAATTTTTATTGAAGATTTGTAAAAAATGTCATTAATGTTTTACATTTTTGATATTGACATTTATTTTAATTTTATCTATATTTTCTGTAATAAATTTTAAATGTTCATTAGGTAGATTAGATTAATTAACTGGGCTAAAAATGATGATCCAAAACTTTTTTTCGAAAAGTACTTACTCTTAAAATTTACTATTACTGTTAATAATATGTAGTAAAAGTTACTTTTGTTTTGTGTGGTTGGCTACATTGCTGTATGTCCCCTTTCTTATGTTTTTTCGTGTGTCGGTGATTGAGTGTGTGCCCACGAGGATGATACAAATGTGTTTCGAATTATTACAGTCTTTTTGTTTCTTACCTTTCTTTTCTTTTCTAAATTAATAAAATAATATTGCCCAAATTGAGTTTATTTTCTTTAATTCCAACAATTACACTCCGTATTTTTAACGAATCGACGATGTATCCGTTTTGATCAATTGTTAATTCGCGACGTTGTTATACACGCGACAGATAAGACAATGGATTCATTAAACATTATGCATCCGCACATAATACGATTCCGGGGAAATTGTATTGCATTACGAAAGCACGCAGCGAGCCTTGGAATTGCGAAACTTTTAAACGGCCTAAAATTAATGCATCACTTCAATAACATAATACAGTATGCATTAATATTTCAGCGTTAAACGGGACTTGCGTGTTTAAATGAATTCCTAAAAATATCCACTTCGAATATCCTAAAACTTGCCGCCACTCGAGGACTCACGAAAACATAATCAACGCAGCTCTTAGTTCGCGGGCAAACAATCTCCGTTTAATTTTCTCGATGTAAATTCACAAATTTTGTTTAAAGCTAAAAAAGAAACGCAAAACAAATTCATACTGGGAAAAATTTTAATGGGAGATTCTAGAGGCCAAAATAAGATGAAAATCAAGAATATCAATTTCTTGACTGAGGCTTCGTTAGAAAGTTATTAAAAAATTTCAAATCATTCTGAAAAAATTATTTTTGGTTGCAGGGGTCAATTACAATCATTTTAGGTAAATAGTCATACCCCCGAAATCCTACGCACTTTCGAGAAAAAAATTCGGTTAGGTGCTGAAATGTCAAATCCCAAATCCTTGCCATTTTCGAAAAAAAAATTCAGTACGAGTAGAACTTTAAACATTAAGAATTTTTTAACGAAGCCTCAATCAACAAATTGGTATTCTTAATTTTCGTCCTATTTTGGCCTCTAGAATCTCCCATTATAATTTTTCCCAGGGGTGAATGAACACCCTTTGTAGTGGGTATCTTCTAATTGAATTATTTTAAAACAGAAAATATATGACTTAAGCCACTTTCAAGAAATACGTTTGTATTTTATAGAATTCTTAAAAGCACTCAACTTAGATTTTGCAGAAAAAAAGATTGCAAAAACAACCATTAAGTTTGATATAAAATTTAGTTTAGTTGCAATCATTTATAAAATTCGCTATCGCTGGAATTGGCCAAAATCGCAAGATTCAACGTCCTGTATTTCTTAAAAAAATTCGAAACCAGCAAAACGATGACTTAAACCCCTATTATTTGCACGCGGATTGCATCATATTTCAATTTCACCAAAATCCCTGACATCCGTTGCAAACTGTGATCGATTTGGCGCGGGGACTGTCTGATTTTCCTGTTCGCGCAATTTTCCCTCGTCGTTTTCGACGAGCCCCTCTAACGTTATGTGAACAGAATCGGTCGCGATCGACGGCGAATCGAACGCGATAAAAACCAAAATCGCAACAAATTTCGTCGCCCGACGCGGCGTGCGGCGGGTCAAAAAGCGGTCGAGTCGATCGTAAGCCCCCCCAATGTGTCATGATTTCCCGAATTATACGGCCGCTGGTTTAAAACCGGCCGCGATTAACGCGAATCAACTTATTAGCACTCGATATTCGCAAATCAGAATTACAATTCGCCGCCCCCTTTTTTTCCTGCCCCGGATCCCAGCGCTCGGCTCGGCCACAAATCGCGCGCGAAAATCCCCAGCGTTTTTCGCGTCGAGCGCGTTTAATGTGTCTTCCTCAGGTATCGCCCTGTCGATCTCTAAACGCAGACGAATACCAAATATACATAAGTACCTGCACGACTTTCGCGATTTTTCCAACGAAACACTGAAATAATACATTGGGGGTCTTTCGTGACCCAAGATAATTTTTCGATACAAATAAATATAGGCTGAGTTATTTTATGAAATTGTCACCGTTCTATAAAAAGACTTGGTACTGATAAATGTGATTTTCAATATCTTTGTAATAAACATAACCCTGCAACAATATATATGGGGTCTTTCGCGATCCAGGATAATTTTATTTTACAAATAAATACAGAGTGATTTATATTACGAAGTTCTCATCGTTCTATAAATAAATTTGGTAACGATACGTATGACTTTCACATTCTTTGTACTAAACGTAACTCTGAAATAATATATTTGGGGTCTTTCGTGACCCAGGATAATTTTACTTTATAAAAAAATACACAGTGATACATATTACGAAGTTGTCATGATTCTATAAAAATGGCTTGGTACTGATAAATGTGACTTTTACAATCTTTCGAATAAACGTAACCCTGAAATAGTACATTGGGGGTCTTTCATGACCCAGGATAACTTTTCTTTACTGATAAATACAGAGTGATTTATTTTACGCAAGTGTCATTGTTCTATAGAAAAATTTGGTAGTGATGTGACTTTCCCAATCCTTGCAATAAACATAACCCTGAACTAATAATAGATTCGGGGTCTTTCGTGACCCAGGATAATTTTGCTTTGCAAATAAACGCAAGAATGATTTATTTTGCGAAGTGGTCATGATTTCATAAAAAAGTTTTGTACTGACAAATGTGACATCACTATGTAAACTAAATTTTGAACAATAAAAAGTTGAAATCAATGGAGGACATGGAAATTACCAGCAAACAAAAAGGCGAAGTCTTTAAGGTACTAATCGAATTATTATCACATACACGTAACATGTGGCTGCTGCTCCAAACACTTATAAATTCACGTTTCTCTAAAACGAAGTGACGGACAAAAGAAAATTTCACTTTATTTATATTTTTTCCCCCCTTTAATCAGTTGTTTGTAGTCGCAGGAACCACTCGAGTGGGATATTAGCGACTTTTATTTCGTCTTGTTTTTCATAAAGAAATTAAATTCCATTTCACGTCACCTCCTGTTGTTCAACAGTCTCTCTCCAAAAGATACGTCATGTAATGGCTGTTTTTCGCTCAAAGTTTTGCAGGATCGCGATAAAAACATCAACACCTCATAATTGTTCGCATTAACTGTATTTTTCAACAGGATGAACCTTATCCGGGAGCAGCGTCTATTTTCACGTTGTTCCGCGAGAACGGAAAAATTGATTTCGACATAATTCGACGGCCAGGGAAACGTAACTGTTATCGCGCCTAAGTCAATACCGATTTCGGACAAAACACAGATGTGTACGTGCTATACATATAAATGTGGCGGCATGCACGAGATGGTACACAGACCGGTGAGTAGAACGTCGAAGCGATTTATTAAACACTGTATCGGTGAGCATTGTTATGACGTGGGTGTACAAATATTATTTTGTATGTACAGCAATCAATGTTATCCGGATCTGGCGTTGTGTACAATTCTATTTTCGCAACTACTAGCGATATTTTATTGGACCGACTTCGACGAGCCGTGAGAAGGCTCGAAGAAACAAAATCCAATCGCATTTAGCAGCAAATTACATATGGGAACTAGAATTCGTAATTACTACGTACATTAAAGAAAAGGATTTTTAAATTCTTAAAGTGCATAACGCGTATCACGTGTTCATTGTTCTTCGGTTGCAAGGAAGGTTGTTTATGTAGGTATCCGTCTCCAACTGCTTTGAAACTTTGGTTCGATTTCATATTTAGAGGGTAAATCATCCCTCAAAGATCGTAAGAAGAGTTATTGATGTATTTTCGCGCCATTTAACTTGCGGACTTTTCTTATAGTACACGTATAATGAATTTTTCAATATTCATTTTTATTCTTATTGTTTGTTTTCTGAGGAAAATATGTAATCAGTCTTACCTACCACAATCGGTCGTCTGACTGGTTGAACAATTTACACTGTTTTTATAAAAAACCGGACAAAATTTGGTATCAAATTCTCGTTAGCTTCCGATGTAAATAGGAAATAAATAACAAAGATGAAACGAAGGAAACTTCAGTTTCCACTGTCTAACAACGCGTATTAAAAATAGCTAAACTTTACACGCATGCAGTTCCGAAGCTATTACTGTTTTTTCCATAATTGAGCGACTGTTAGAAGTGGCAAGACCTTCCCTTTAAAACGGTTTTTGGTTTATGTCGATCCGATTTTTGGTTTTGGAGATATCGTAATTTATGTGAAGGGGTAATTTTTTTTGCATCGGAGCTCTCTGTCGCACGTGAGTCGTGAAAGTCGTGACCGATTGACGCACTGTTTACTACGGGCACGAGCGGTCAATGACCTCGCGCAGATGTCAACAATGAAAAGTAAACAAACGCTTCAGACCCTTATATCTCCAGAACTAATTACGCCATCGATTTGATTGAACACTCATTTTAAAGGGCTCTTTATCCTCCATCTGATGAACATAACAACTATTATTATTTATACTGTCTTCTATGTTTATTTTGAAATTTATTTTAACTCTATGCGCCCAAAGGAGTTTCAGCAATTCCTATTGAACCTATTGTACGATTGGTGTGCGATGAAACTGGATTATTAATTGTTTATTGAAAATTAATTTAAGTTTGTATAGAGGATGTTTGCATTATTACTAGCCAGTATTTTTCCGTATATAATAATTTTCTGTGAAACTAACTACGGTATCGACTTGAAACAAAATTCGTTATCAAAGGTCAATGTAAATTTTCGGAACGAAGTTAAAGTACTAGGTATGCACATTTACAGTCAGATTATTGAATACCTTCGTATACAAGAAAGATATCAAATTTCAAAGCAACACGTGCTCGTAAAAGAATATTCAAGAAAATATCGCAGTCTGAGTTTTTGCAAGATGATCTTTGACCTAATATTAGGGGGAGTTCCCCTAAAACCGGATACTACATATACATATAATGCAAAAATTACAAGTACGTTACCTCGTAAAAGGGGAAAATAAAGTCATTTGACCGGTCTTGTTAGATTGATTAGATATAAATTATTTTATGATGACAAATTATTGGCTCTACAACTTCCCATCAATTTGATTCCGGATGGCACCTACATAGTACCAGAGAGTAGCGATATCTTTAAAGTGTGTTAAAATCAACTTTCGTCATGTTCTAGTCGCACGCACACAGCTAAAAAAATCAGTTGATTGTGGCGTCTAATTAGAAGTTAGTGTATCGTACAAATTATAAACTAGTATACCTCTCAATTTTTGTAAGGAAAAATGTGTGAATGGTATTATTATATCTTTTGGTCAGCACTTTTTAAATTACCTTTGTATTCTGTATATACTGTGTATAGTGCACTGATTTTTATAAAACAAACTTTTCTTTATAGCTTTGCTGTTCCCTGGTTCCCGGCAGATTATCGTATCCTATTACCGGACACTAAAAATCTAAATTTTGCTAAATTCTCTATTATAATTTTCTTTGTTTTGTTGCTTTATATTGATTTCCAATATTATTAAATTATAAATAGAACAGTATAGAAGTCATAAAATATTATATTTTTTTAATGATTTAGGTACTAGAGGAACTCCGCCACTAACATAGCTTGAGGAGATATTTCAGATCATTTATATTTAACCACCCCTTGAACGCGAAAAAGGACCAAAATGAAAAAATCTGTATCGAATATTTTTCGATCTTCCAGCCACACGCAAAGTTTCAAAGCGATCTGAGACGAATACATAAAATGGAAATCCCTCTTAATCTGACGTCCCTCATTAGTTTCGAGGTTCCGGATCAATTCAATGCGCCACGTTTTCTATCACGAAGAGTCACCAGGACCAGAACAGTCACCTGTTTCATGGTCGAGCACAATTTCCTCACCAGGTGATTAGAACCCCCATCCCCATCGTCCTCTTATACATACATATTTAGACACGCACGCTGATGTTCATCGACGTGCATAAAATTTCTTTAAGGTAACAAATAATGCTTGACTCACCGATGAGCTGTCCCTCGGACGGTCCATGAAAATTATCCTGTTCGTCTATTAACGACGTTGACAAGGATTTCGGGGGTGTCGAGGGCAGTGGGGCCCACTGCTAGTGAACCCAGGATGGAGGTGCAGCAGGAGTCGTTGCATTGGTGCTTACGTAGACTCCTGCGGTTGCGCTTCCAGCCGTCGTACCGACGACGTTGTTCTGCGACACGGCACTATTCTGACCGACGTTTCTGTCGCTCACTTGAATCGCAGTCGTGTCCATCACGCCTTGTTGGAAGTTGAAATCCAGCGTTCCGTCCATCGACAGCTCGTGTTTGATCACCTGAGATACAGGTTTACTGTTTGGTGTACGGTAAGCGACTCTTTGAATTACGATCGATACATGATTTCACGGTAATTTACAAGTTCACGGTCCGCTGACTCACGGTTGGATGAACGGATTCTCTGTTGAGACACTATCCGCAAACTAAACGACGCGAAGGGCGAACAGAATCGGCTGTCTGGCTGCTACCTAATCCCTTCCACTTTTCGGGTTCTCGGTTGTTATTGGCTATTAATGAAACGGAACGTGGCTGAGTGAGATACCCGCAACAGTGAGTGACATTGACGCGAACGTGACATCAGAATATTAACTATCGATGGCACGAAAATATTTTTCGTACTTGCAATATGTACACTGCGGAGCATAACTATAGCACCACTAATATTTTTAACATTTCCGACCAGTAAGAAAATAATTTGAAACAACCAATTATATGGTATGAAAAAGCATTGTAAATAATGGATTTTAGGTGAAATTCATTGAAGTTGTCTACTTATATGTCAAAATTTAATCGATAAACGTTTGCCGATCGGTGCAAAACAATAGAACCAGTTCAAATTTAACGCACTTCAAGGGTTTCTGTTGGAATTTTTTTAGTAAACCCGGGAATTCTTAGTTAATTAATACAATGCCACGTGGCAGCTACCTTAATGAACAAGAGCAAGGTGCAATTTCAGCGTACAGAGAGCAAAAAATGGGGATACGTGAAATCGCACGTAAACTCGAGCGATCTCATAAAGTTGTACTGAATTTTTTACGCGATCCTACTAAGTATGGGAAAAATAAGAAAGGGGGACCTAAGAAGAAGTTATCCCCTCGTACTGAAAGGCAAATTGCTAAAGTTGCGAGCAATACGTTAAAAAGCTGTAAACAAATTGTGAAGGAATGTGATCTCGGCGTTTCTCGTTGGACTGTCCAACGTGTCCTTAAACGTAATTCAAACCTTATAAGACAAAAAATGATGTCTGCACCTACACTTCTGAAACGTCACAAAATAGCCAGGCTTGAATACGCACGAAAAAACATGAGCAGAAATTGGAATAATGTAAGTTAAGTTTAGACATTCATAAATCGAGATTTTAGCTTCATATTCAATACTCCTTATTTAACTTAGGTTATTTTCTCTGACGAAAAAAAATTCAATTTGGACGGTCCAGATGGATTTAATTCATATTGGAGGGACCTTCGTAAAGAACAAAAATACTTTTCGAAACGTAATTTCGGTGGAGGGACACTTATCGTGTGGGGTGCATTCTGCTCCTGTGGCAAGCTCAGATTAGCTTTTCCAACTACACGAATGAATAGTGCGGAGTATATTAGAATACTCGAAAATCATTTATTGCCTTTTATTCATGCAAACAGTCAACATTTCATGGACTTATCAACAAGATAATACTCCAATCCATAAAAGCCGACAAACCACAGCATGGTTTGAAACGTTTGATGTCAATGTATTGAAATGGCCTGCATGCTCCCCAGACCAAAATCCAAATGAAAACCTATGGGGTATCATGGTACGGCATATTTATGGAAATAATCGACAATTTTCGAACATTTCGGAGCTAAAAACAGCAGTTATTGAAGCATGGAATCAAATTAGTGAAGAAACTTTGAAAAAACTCATTACAAGTATGAACAATCGTATTTTTGAATTAATACATAAAAATGGAGGTCCTACTCATTATTGAAACTGCTCACTTTAATAAACTGAATTAGAAATTTAACACTTTATAGCCATTTAACCTTATTATTACGTTCCAAATACATTGGTGCTATAGTTATGCACCATTACAATATTTCATTTATTATCATACTTCATGTTAAATAAATGTTATTTTTGTATTTTTTCCATTAATTATAATGTTTTTCTAGTTCTTTTCACGTGGTATTATTAACATTTAGAAATCATTAGTTACAACTATAAAACTCTTGAAAATTATAGTGGTGCTATAGTTATGCTCCACAGTGTATATATTTTTATTTTATACGTTTTCTAGGATGATTTACGGCGCACTATTAATTCTTCTAATTCGTATTTTTTTCATTCGATCTGAATGTGGAAAATTATTTTATACAATCAACTTAGTCTCTCTGGCACACGTCCGAGTCTCTATCTTCGTTAAAATAATTCTACTAAACATTAGATTTTATTAATCTAGCAAGGCCCTGTACAGAATACAGTTCTCTGTACTCTTCAAATCTTTTAAATTATTTTCCAATAATAAATAGTGGAAAGAGTGGGTGGCCGATTTCTCTTGATTCTTGCATCGTTTAGTTTGAAAATAATTTATGTTTAAATTTTTATATCAGTAATTTAAATATACACATTATTTACACAATATTATTTAATAAGAATTAATAATATTATGAGAAACATGGTAAGTGATTTTTCTTTATGTATTCTAATAGAATTGTTTCAGAACGAAATTAAGGAAGCGTTTATTCTTTTTTCTTTTTTTAAATGTGTAATGTAATATGTTTATAATCTCAAAATGTGAACGTGTTAAATGAAACCGGTGAAGGGAAATGCCTAGGAAAAGAAGAAAATTTCAGTGATTATCAACATATAGAGAATCACAATTTTACATTTTGTTCAGTTTGCTTTAGATTTAATTGTTCATTTATTGATGTTAATTGTCCATATTATGAAAATCATTTTAATTTCAGTCTGCTTGGCGTAGTGAGTGTAAATGATCCTGATCTTGCTCGATATCGATGAAAAATGATTTACAGAAGTGGACATTAGTAACTACTGACACCATTTTTCATTTGTGTATTTGCAATATACTAGAAGTATGGTACATAAAGTAGTATGCAGTGTGAAGTGAAAGTTGAAAATAGAAAGCAAAATGCAGTTCTACAATATTTCGCCGTAAAATTGTTATTATCGTGTCAAGACCGAATATGTATAAAAAATTAGTCTGAAAATAACAAACCATCGTTCATTAAATGTTGCAGTGTTCATTGTTTTTCTTAAATTTTGCAAGGCACGCTCAAATTCATGAGAAAAACAACAGATAATATAGTATGTCTCAATTTTCAGCTGTCTCTGATTTTTTTATTAAAAAAATTCCTCAATGTAGTTTCTCGGTGCGATTTAAAGTCCGTAATTGAAAAATGCATAATTTTGTGCAGTTTATTAAATTTGTATCATAGAAGGCAGAATTTGACAAATTTTATTCGCGAATAACGAATAAAAATTTTATATTCATTCGTAAAGTAACTTTTGTGACATCGATATAATTTATAAATGAAATGTAAATGGGCAATAATTTGTGAACGAATTAAAAATTTGTATTCGTTATTTGTGATTAAAATGTACCCAATTTTGGTTGATGCTATTACATTCATTGCTTCAAATTTATATTATTCATTTGCTTAGTGAAAATTTGATACTATGTAGAAACAATAAACTTACAATATTTCACATAATTTTGTAAATCACTCGACGACGTATGAAAAATATTCTGTAAAAATTTCAACGCATATGGTACAGTTTTGAAATAAACAATAGGTAAAATTTTGTGTTTTATATGTACATGGGTTTTTATGAGAGCAGCAACAAATATAACACTAAATGATGAAGTTACAGAAAATAAGTTAGACAAATACAATGTAAACAATACCGCGAAATAACAGTTAAACTGTGGCTCCATCCTTGTTTTATAACACTTAATACTGAATTATTTACATTTAAATAATAATGTAACTCCAGTATTCTATTAGATAAGTACGCCAGCGTTTATTAAAATAATAAAATTTATTTATGAATAAGTTGATATTCAATGAATGAACCTGTGTATACATATGCACAGTCTCTGAAACTCGTACCTAACCAAAAACATTTAACGGTTCCATAAAGACACTGGGGATAAATGGTACTTCATCACGACGTTGCGTTGTAAAACAGAAATTAGCATTTATTATTTAATTATGAAGTATGTTACAAAACATAACATGTTCACTTACAACTTAAAAATTTAAACCTAGTAAAGTGTATTTTTACAACCGTACACGAATATATACAATGGTTGCGATATTCAGATTTCAGAAAAAAAAAAATAAAACTTTTACGCTACCAGAAGTAGTCTTAAAAATATGAAAATTCATTTTATAAATAGTACTAGTCACAGCTTCGATCGATCGAGGACCCGAATTAAGGTCTGTTCTATATTTATTATGACATAAACTCCGATAAATAATTAATGTATTTCATTCAAATATTAGATTCAGTCATTAACGAATATATATATTCCCTCAATTCGGAAATGAAACTCACCTCTTCGACGGTACAGTCGAATCCGCCGTGCAGCGATTCGATGTTAATATTTAAATCGTCGAGAAGCGTGGAATTGTTCAGCGCGCCCATCAGCTGGCCCATCATTGTGCTGGGTGTCGGGCCGCAACTTGTGGGACCGCAAGGCGCCGCGCCGCAGGGTGGGGGGCCGCAAGGCGTCGGTGTTTGCGGTTGGCTGGATCCGGTTGGCGCTGTCTGCGACTGTTGCTGCTGCTGCTGTTGCTGCTGTTGCTGCTGCTGTTGTTGGCACTGTTGCGTCTGCATTATGTATTGAAGAGTCGGCTGTTGACTGTTTCCTAACGCCGTGGGACTCGGTTCACTCTGCTGATAGGACGGTGACATTCCAGCCACTGGACTCAAATTCTAATGGTTCGAAAAGAGAACGATAAATACACCGCGCCCACTCGAACGTCTCGATTATTTCAAAGAATGCTAGAAAACGGTACTTACAAAAGCTGTAAAGAAAGTGCATATAATATTAGGTTGGGGAAAAAGAAATCCATTATTATTCGCTTAGATGGCTCAAGTCATATACAGGGTGTTCGGCCACCCCTGCAAAAAATTTTAATGAGAGAAAATCAAGAATACCAATTTGTTGATTCAGGCTTTGTTAAAAAGTTATTAACAAAATTATTGTAAAAAATTATTAATAAAATTTATTTACCTACACGAATTTTTTCTCGAAAACGCGTAGGATTTAGGTGGTATGTGTATTCACCAAAAATTATTGTATTTGACGCCCGAAAGTGAAAATAATTTTTTCAAAACGATTTTAAACTTTTCAATTTCGCTGAAAAATTTAGGCACCCACCCTCTGTTGATTTGCGTTTTCGATTTTTAATAAATTTGTTTGACGCTGTACGGAAATGTTGTCTAATACTTTTTCGTAGGTATTCATGAACTCTACTTCATTACTAAATTTCATTGAAATATATTCACTATTGTAGGAGTTATGGTCATTTGATTATTGGACCACTTTTATGGGGTTTTTCTCATTTTGCGGAGTTAAGGAACAACTTTTCGTAAATTCTTAGAATTTGCACATATTCTTCACCAAAATAAGCGTTATTTGCATTTTGAAACATTAAAATCGTCCAATCCGTTCAGAAGTTATGATGTTTTAAACATACGTATGCAATTTCAGTAGAACATTATTATGGTCAGACAGATTTTCGATAAGGAATTTTTTTCTCAAAAGTGAATAGGATTTCGGGGGTATGTCTATTGATAAAAAATGATTGTAATTGACCCCTGTAACTAAAAATAATTTTCCTTGAACGATTTGAAATTTTTTAATTTCGTCGAAAAATTGTCCGATCTGTATGGAACTTTAAACGTTAATAAATTTTAACGCAGCCTCAATCAACTAAAATTGTGAATGGTGTCCAATGTTGAAAATATCGATAAAATGATGGAAATGATCGAAGTAGACCGACGTGTTAACAGTCATAGCACTGTCCAGGAGTTAAAGATCGACCTTAAAACAGTTTTAAACCATTTGCATAAAGCTGAATTCAAAAAGAAGCTCGATGTTTCCTCCGAATTTCCATCCACGAAGTCTTAGCTAAACGGAACGAAATCGAATGGGCAACACATTACAAAACAAAACGGTACATATAGTATATCACCCAAGTCGAACCATATTAAATAAACTCTTGAAATAAACGTGAAAATAATGGATTTCTTTTTTTCCAACCTAATATGGTATAAATTGTATTCTTGCAAATGGAGGCACAAAGGGGATATAGAGGTCAAATGTTGTTTTTTTAAATTATGAAATTTTATGCTCAATTTCAACAGATTGGGGTATTCTGAGCATAAAAGTATTGAGGTATATTAGTCCTATAACTTACTGTTTTTGAGATATTTGACTGTTTTCACAAAGCTTCTTCAAAATGGCGGCCATCTCCAGCGACGCAGCGTTGTAGTCTTTGAAACGTTGTATACAATATTTTTCGATGCTCCTCAGAAATAAGACATTTCAGACATTTAAGAAATATCCGAAATAAGACATTTAACGCTATAACTATCGACGATTACAGTGTAGTTATTTCCATTGCATTATACATTTTGTCGCGCATTTATCGTTTTAATTTGGTACCAATAAGTGTTAATTCATTCTCTTATAGAAAATTACGGCGAATTTTTGAAAATTCGAAATCACGAATGGGTAATTTCGACTGTTTTGGCAGTTCTAGTGTTTAGGGACGCAATAGTTCAAGAACTACGACCTTGCATCGCTGCGGATGGCCGCCATTTTGAACAAGCTTCGTGAAAACAGTAGAATATCTCAGAAACGGTAAATTTTAGGACAAGTGTACTTTAGTACTTTTATACTCAGAATATACCAATCAATCGAAGTAGAGCATAAAAAATTGAATTATTAAAAAAAACAAAATTAACTTCTATATTTCTTTTACAACCGCATTTGGAAGCATATCATTTATACCATGTTATGTATTTAGTTAAAGCATGGAAATTTTTGCAAGTAACATTATCTCGCATCCTTTGAAATAATCAGTTCAAACATTACAACGTTGCTTCGTTGCAGATGGCGGCCATTTTGTACAAGCTTCGTGGAAACAGTCAAATATCTCAGAAACGATAAGTCTTAGGACAAATGTACCTCAATACTTTTATACTCAGAATATACCAATCAGTTAAAGTACAGCATAAAAAATTGGTTATTAAAAAAAAAAAAGTTAACCTCTACATTTCCTTCACACCTGCATTTCGAAGAATACCATTTGCAAACTTCTGCAAGTAACATATCACATTGTTTAAAATAATTGAGATATTTAAGTGAACAAAGTTCGTGAAACACACTGTACACACACACAATCATCTACTTATGTACCACGGTAGTTGCTGACAAATGCAATAAATAACTTAATTCGCATCGATAAATGAAGAATCTTTCCACAAAACGAACAATAAATTTAATATTTATATTCTTTTTGGGAAATCAATAATTCCTTAGTACGGATCTAAAGTTATACAGAACAACCAATTTACATTAAATATTTTCCTGCAGACGGGATGATCTTCTCTCTTAACTGTAATTGCTCCTAAATGCAATTAAGTCACAATTCGTGTGTCTGCTTGACCAGTTCGACATACTAGCATTCTTTTAATTCTATGCTCTAAATATTCAAAGAGCCTCTTGGACAAAAGGTTTGGAAAATAAGAAAATCTACATTTGTCTCTTTTATTCGGCGATTTGGTTCTCGAAACAATCGGTGGAAAGTCCGTAAACTAGGATAATCTAGCCCTTTGAACGGTTCGGGTAGAAACCGCCTACGTTTTGTTCCCTTTCAACGATGAAATTTAGCAATAGACGACTTACCCTTTACCCCTGATTGTCCACTCACCATTTGACAAGCGCATGGTTGGAGACCATGAATCGGGCATCTCTGCTGATTCGCGGGTTGAGGTGTCGGCTGCAAAGCAAAGGATGACGATCCCGTGGTAAGGCGGTTGCTCCTCTGATACTGGGTGTCGTAATAAGAGGGTGGCGGTCCTGTTTGTTGCTGGTGGCTCGTCAGCGATGTCTGATATATTTGATAGGAGTCCAATTTCATCGTTTCCGCGAGGCCAGCGGCTGCATGCACGGTCATTGAAAAATAGGGGACGTTAATTCACTTTGTTTAAATGAAAACTGCACATTGATTCTGATTCGAAGCACGTAACAGTATCAGATTGTCGAACAGAGTCGTTGAAATCCCTTTCGATTTCAGATTTAAATTTTAAAGAAACGGACTAGTTTCGACGCGCGTGCTTACAAGTTTTCTAAGTTAAAAAAACATAGGGTTGGACTAGTCGTCATCTTGGTCGTTGGAAGTTTCACCGATTATCCGAGACTTTTTCATTTTATAGAAGTTTATAGACGGAACTCGGATAATTTCGCGACGCTGAAAACATTTTTGTGCGTCATTCCGAAAAATTCGAATAAATAAGAACGAGAAACTCTATTTTAAATGAAGTCTAATATAATAAAAAACTAACCAACTGACAACAGTGTGAATATTTTAACGTAAACTGACGTTTCAGTTCATTAATTGTTACATGCTTGTTTTTAAAAATGGAGTGGTATTATTCGATATGTTACCTTTGTTCGAACAATCACAATATTAACCGTGGTACAAAACAATCAGAGCTTCCTCTTCTTTTAATCCAATTCGATCTACGTGTTAAATATTTATGTTTATGTGTGATGCCTTAAAAAATGACACAGATATTGTAAATTTGTGCAAACTTTATTTATTCGCGATCATAATACAATGAAGTATTAAGAGCAAATATTACGTATACAACTGTAGTTGATTTTCATAACATAGTACGATGTTTATGGAAAGATAATATTTATAAAAGGCACAAATACACATTTATATATTCTGCAAAAATAGATGCAAATAATATAACCACTTATACATACTTTTAACTTATTTTTGAGAATGTTATTTTCTTGAGATCCGTGAAATAATGTGTTAAAAAATGTACCACCTTGATATATCAATAGTGCTCGAGGAAAAGAAAAACAACAAAAAGAGAGTATTTCATTTAAAATATCACGTATTAGAAATACAAAGAAACTTCGATTAATTCGACAATTTAATATTATTACGTGTTTGAATAGTTGTTTGGAATTAAAATTACGCAATTATTGCAATCATTGTAATTGAAGTTTTCTAAAAGAGCTTCAATCTCTCATGCTACGCGCGTATTAAAGTGCAGTGCAACACAAAATTATGGAAATAGTCGATGAACCTTATATGAAAGAAACAAATATCGAAACTTAGTGCGTACCTAATTGGTCTGTAGTATAAGAGGGTGTGTATGTTGGTGTCCATTCCGGTTTCCCAGGGATCGCTGGGATTGGACTTAATCGACCACAGGATGAGGCATTGCTTGAAGTTCGCGGACTCGAGTAAAAAAAAAACATATCAAATGTAATCGAAATATCCACACAAAGTACAAACCGGATCTGAGATTATTCGAAATGGAATAGATATAATTATATTTCAAACAACGCGACGTTCGGATCTATGATTTTCATTGTAACGGCAATTTAGAAACGTATTACTTATATACGTATTTTTTTAGCTGCTGTAACTCCAGTTTAAGGGGTGAAACCACCCGCCAAAGTTTCACCTCGAAAATGCTTGGAAACAGTTGGATAAGAAGGAATACGTTTTGACAAAAATTTAGTGATTTTTTATATATGAAAAGAAAATGTTTAAGTTGTCGAAGAATTTTCAAAAATTCGAAGTTCAAAACATTATTTTTGACACCCACCTCGACTATTTAATTTTTGTGTTAACTGATAAGATATGGTTGAGTTTAGAATAAAACGTGCTATCTTTCTTGCTCTATAAACAATTGCTGTAACTTATCCTAATAAACATTCTTTGACAACTCAAACATTTTCTTCTCGTATGCCAAAAACCATTCAATTTCTGTCGAAACATTTTTTTCTCTATCTCTAATCGTTTTCGAGTTGACGCTTGTCAAACTTTAGAGGGTGCTATCATCCCTTAAATTCGAGTTATTGCAGCTAAAAAAAAATACGTATGTATTATTTTCGTCTATTTCACGAGCCTACATAGTTTCATCCAAATCAAAGACGAAAGAATCAAGATTACTTTATTTACAAGATATTTGATTTTTTAAATTATGAATGTTTATTTAAATTGTCCGGTTCAAATAATATAACAATCTTAAATTTAAGGCATGGAAATACCAAATATTTCTGCCTTCTTCCAAAATGGAGTCATTTGAACATAAAATACGTTAAAGAATCTTCCAAGAACTATACATATATAGTAAGTGTCTGAAAATAATCATTTTAGAATATTTGATTCAAATAATGCCCAGATCTGGTACAAGTAATTTAGGAGACTATAAACTGTAGAATAGTATCTTATATGTCACAGTATATTGTGCAAAACTGTTCGTTAAATGCAAGCAAGAGCGGTGCATTATGCATACGATTAGTACGAAAGCATTTATAAGTGTTTCTCCTGGCAATACTAGCGTACGCATTGAAGCTGATAGTTTTCATTGTTTACTACGATATTACAGTAAACGTAATAATGAGAAACGTATAATGTAATAAACCATATCCAAGTAACGAGACAATACTTTAATATGGCAGTTTAATGCTTTAAATACTGAAACACTTAAAATTAAGTTAAAGTTTTCAAGGTACAATTGCATTAACGTAAAAAATGACACATGAATATTGATACAAATCACGAAATGCTGACAGAGTGAATGGTATGCACCAAAGTAAATTATTAGTTTGTGCAATTATCATACAAATATTGTACTAGAATCAAACATATTTAGCTGCTTCTAGTTACTTCCTCGATTGCAACTCGTTTCTACAATGATTACCTTTTAATTTAGATTTATCGAATCTGAAAATTCACATTAATTTACTTAATCAATCTTGAACTCTTTATAAAATTTAAATAAAATTATTGAGTAAGACAGATTCAAAAAATTGATTTTTCATTTTCTCGTTAATCAAAGGCATTTAAAAACTAAGAAATTAAAATTTGTAAAAATAACTTAGTTATAAGATATTCTGTGAGTCCTGTTAAAACGTAACAAGAGAAGTTGTATATTAAAACTTCATTAAAAACATAAAAATAATTAACCGATTAATTTGTTATATATTTCTCCGGAAACTGAACCTAAATTATGAATTTCAATTTTTATTTATAATACTTTTCTATCTTTCATTTTCTTTACTTTAAAAATAGGTTGGATATTTGAAGAGGTGAACAAAATTCTATGTTAATTAATAAATAATCGGGAAAAAATCGACATAAAAAAGATTGTTTTCTGTAATTTAAGAATGTTTCGTTGTATTCTAAAAAATGTTCGATCCGAATTAACCATAGTTTTTTCAAAGAAAATTCATAATTATATTTAGAGACAGCTTACCTCTTGTATTGTTTAAGAAATAAAAAATGTAAGCTTGTTGTTTGGAATGAAAAGACAAAAAATGAAGTGAAATGGTAGGGATAATCTTTCATTATGAGTAACTTTTTAAAAGTCTTGACCGTCCAAGTAATATCGAATTTAAATTTAAAATTTCTGTCAAACTTACAAAGAATTAACAGTTGTTATTTGAACCCATCGTGATAATCTTTCGATTAATGTCACATATTTACCTTGTAATACTTATTGAGTTTTACTTCAATTTTAACGATCCTAATAATTAAGAAAAGTCTGAAATCTTCCTAAAACGTAGTGAACAATGTGCCCACGGTTTACGTGGTTTCAAAAAGATGGTATTACGATATATTCAGTCCGTATCGAATATAGTATATTAAATATGCAGTAGACAAAATTTGCGCATTGAACTCGAAATGAATTACCGTCGGATAACGTTATTACATTGTTTCATGGTGATATGCATCCACATAATACACGTAAAATTGTAAATAATATTCTGCAAATAACACGCAATGCATTACATGTTTGAATTATTTATTTCGAAGTTAATTACTTTATATTTTTGATAAACGAAACAGTTGATCGAAGAAGCAATAAATACTGAAGTAACTGTCATATCATTATTCGAAAACTGTTTTTCTTCAAAACGACATTGGACATACCTAACTGAAACGCAATTGCACATTATATAATTGCAACTGCAATAGTTACTTATAAAGTACTATAACTAAACGTAAAGAAAATTCCAATTACATCCAATGGGATCAAAAAAGTAATCTGCTATATAAAATATCACATAGTACAGTCGATGAGGTAAGAAAAGAATAAATTATTCTATGTATGTATGTAAGTAATTCCAGTGTACTTGTTGCATACCTTACCGTTAAATCATTTTAATCAATCAATATTTTAAATTTCCTTTAGGAGAACTTAATGATCGTGTACAGTGTTGATTAAATCAAAAGCTTGATAAAAGTAATCATTGACAATCTGTAATTGTTGTTCGAAACTACGCGTTGAAGATTTAATAAAAAGTTAATTTTAAACAGGTTTAGTCAACAATTACTCTGAAATGATACGTATTAAACGATTACCTGTACGAAATCTGAGAATTTTCATCTCAATTTGTAATAATACATGAAATATTTACTAAATGCATCGATGTATGATTATTGCCTACATTTAAAAATTATTACAACACAAACAAGCACATTATTATTAAATATCGTTGTATCTAATAGTGATGTAAGATCGAGATAATTTGTATCAAATTCATATGTTAATTCGAGCATGGCAAACAAACAGTACTAGATTCGAACAATTTTTAACAACCGATGAGATAGAACAAAATGGAATTTAAGCCTTGAAAACCTCGTATGAACTATATGTACGAAAATCGTGTCAGATTTGGTTACAATGTGAACCACTTGGCTAGGAATTCTGCAATTAACATTTTTCAAGCATTCCTAATGGTGACTCGCATTTTTATTTCGAAAGTTATGATTATTTATACTAATTGCAAATTAATAATAATAAAAGAAATTAATTATTTAATACTAATAATCGTAATAATATTAATACCATTAAAATAAATATTAATTCATCATAAACCCTTACATAATGCAAATTTTATTCATCAATGTTAGACTTGTAAAGTCATCTGTAAATTAGAATATTTATAAACGAATACTTTCAACTGATATTCAGGCGAGCAAAACCTCTAAATCTGGTTCCAGAGTGAATCTAAAAATTTTATTCGTTAATCGTGAATAAAATTTACCCAATCCATAAGTATACATATTTCTTGTTTCTTGATTTACTTATTTTTCAGTATTATCTTTCTTTATAATCCGAATTGTCAAGATCACATTTTCGTTCTATGAAAATGTATGTCCAATTAAGAATTTTTTAATTTAAGGCATAACTAGAACGACGTACCATTTCTTTTGTTGCTTTACTTTGTTAGGTTCTCTTTGAGTTTTCATTTACGAGATAAGCACAATTTTTTTTTAACATACACGCAGTTTTGCCATTTTAATTAATTCGTTAACTTCCATTTCGTTTACGAAGACATCCGTAAATTAGATATTTTTTACTCTTCGATCAGCTTATTTTTAAATTTCAACTCTCTTTATAATCCGAATAGTCAAGATTACTTTCTCGTTCTATGAAAATGTTTCTTTTTTTGTTTTACCTTGTTACTAGGTCCTCTTTGAGATTTAATTCCCGAGATAAGCACAATTTTACGCAGTTTTCCCATTTTAATACACTCGTATGCATATTACTGTTGTTCTTTCCATAATGCGACGTTAAAATTTAAACGAATATCATTCTGTTCTTTCCCTGAAATAAGTTTAATAACATTACAATATTGATACTCTCACGTTTTACAATTCTCCAATCCTCTTTTTCGTTTTTCCCCAGCATAATTTAAAAATAGTCAAATATTTGCAATGTCATCGAATATCCGGACGATTCCAGGCGCCATTTCTATGGAAGTTTGCGAACTTTTCAAAAACCTCTCGTACATATTTCACGCTATCGTTTTACCAGAAACTCATAAAAGTCAGCAACTTACGGAGCAGCAAACGTTTGATCAACACGGTGGCAAATTAAATTTCCCAGCCAAGCAGTTAAGAACGAAGCAGAAACGGAAAATTGATCGCGGACGCTAGAATGAAAATATTAGAAATCCAGTTCGATCGGCAGGCAACGTATCAAAGCGGAAACATACCGAAAGTCGGGGGAAAGTTGAAATCCACTTCCGGGTAGAAGAGGACTCTCCGGGAACTGATCGAGCCCCTCGTTGACGCTGTTACTGGGACTTGGTATCGCGTCGGTTTGCAAGCCGCCATTTCTTAACGCCTCGATCTTCTTTCGCACGCGACAGCGTCGTTTCTCCAATTTTCCAGGCTCCATCGTCATTGCCCTGCGCAATCCCATTGCAACGGAATTCATAACGTCGCACCAACAGTGAATTTTTACAAAAATATACAGGGCGTTCGGCCACCCCCTGGGGAAAATACTATATTAATCGAAGATTCTACAGGCCGAAAAGCTTCGTTAAAAAGTTACTAAAAAATTAAATTAAAAAATTTCAAATCATTCTTAAAACATTATATTCGGTTGCGAGGGTCAATTACAATCATTTTTGGTGAATAAACATACCCCCGAAATCCTACGCAGTTTCGAGAAAAAAATTCATTACCGAAAAATTCTTTCCTCGAAAGTGCGTAGGATTTCGGGGGTATGTATATTGACCAAAAATGATTGTATTTGACCCCCGCAGCCAAAAATAATTTTTCCAGAACAATTTGAAATTTGTTACTTTCGCTGAAAAATTTCAGTAATTACTCCAATTTTTTTCTCGAAAGCGCGTAGGATTTTAGGGGTATATCTATTGACCAAAAATGATTGTAATTGGCCCCCCGCAACCGACAATAATTTTTCCGTGAATGATTTGAAATTTGTTTAATTTAATTTTGTTACTAACTTTTTAACGAAGCCTCAATCAACAAATTGATATTCTTGATTTTCGTCCTATCTTAGCATCCACAATTCCCCATTAAAATTTTTCCCAGGGATGGCCGAACACCCTGTATACAATCTCTTGGATAACCGATCGACAAAAAAAAACAAAATCGAGAGTAAACAGTCGGAATCAATCCTTATTCTGCGGTAATAAAAACGTGAAGACCGTGTTTTAGACAATTAGCAAGATCTATCGATAGCAACATTGTCAATAATTGTTGGGAAATTTGAAAACATCGATGATTCGAATCTAGAGCGAACAAGTATTTGAGGAGCTGTATAAATCATTGCTAGAAAGAACGATTGAAGTTATTAAATATAAAATAAATACTGCAAAATAATATGCTTCGAGTACCAGTAATTATATGCTTCGTAAGAAATATTAACGCTACCTTTACTTTTATGAAAATTTCACCCATCTGTTTAACGTTCATTTCTATTTCAATTTTTTTCCAATTATTCAATCAGTTTTCCCAACTTTGAAAGGCGATTTCCCTCTCGAAACATGAATCTCCGTTAAAAAAATGCGAATCGAATATTTTTGACAATTTTCTCGGTATCAAAGCTTTGTAAAAATCGGTACGTACAGTTGGGTAATCTGCTTAGTTATTAGTCGTTTACGATTATGAAGAATAAATAAATAAATCGAATCTTAGAATAATTCCTATCTTACTTTAACTATTTCTTATATTTTTGCATGTTAAGTGCATTCTATAGTAAAATTTCCCATAAATGCATAAACATCCGCAATCTATTTATCATTATGTTATTGAACCCAAAAAACGATTATAAGTAATGTTCTTGTGTGCATTAATACAGAGGTACATGAACACAATATCTCAGATAATTGACAGTTCATAAGAAGTGCTTTAAATAACGTACAATTTTTAGCTTAGACAGCTTTGGATCAGTTATCCGGGAAAAATTCGATCAGTTATCCGGGAAATAGCGCACCTTCCTAGTCAACTTACCTTCGACGTGACGACTTGCCAGGCTTCGCGTCACGATTGATCATCCACCAAGAGCTCTTTCCGGTTCCTTCGTTTTGGACCCTCATGAATTTCGTGTGCAACGATAGGTTGTGCCTTATGGAGTTCTGTGAACAGGAAAAATATGTATATTGATTAACTTAAATTCAGGATGTCTCGCGAATACACAAACTCTTTAATGATTCGGATACGTTTGACATTGGTTCATTTTTTGTAATCGTCAAAGTGGACGATTTTTAAAACACATACTTCACGTTATTAATGCTTTCAAGTGTGTACTGATTATGATTAGTGAGCGATGATAATTACGATGGAATTTCTAATCATCGTTTCTGATCTATTATGTTTTGAATGAAAGAGAATGATTATCGTTACGAAGGCTCTTGTTATCTCGAATACTATTGTTATTATTACCATTATTTATATTACTCTTGTAATAGAATCGAATGTTGAAAAATATTTGTTGGAATGCATATAGATCTTAATTTCGTGTAAATATTGAATTATCAAAAAAGGGAAAGGAAAGATGGAGGTTTTTATTATAGAATGTTTCCAGCGATCGTTTAGCTCGCTTAATAATATACCAAATTTGTTTTTATACAGTGATAGAAATCATTGCCTTCAAATTTAAAAAAATCATACATAAATTCGATTCGGAAGAGGATTACAATAAAGACGATTGTAACAAGAACTTCGTTTATTTAAATACAGTTTTACATCTTTTACTTAGAAAGAAGCCAATCGTGCGTAGTATTATTCAATGTAAAATAATTATCAAAGTATAATGTGCATCAAAATTGTTCATCATAAGTATTAAGAGCTTCAGTATTTATTTATTGACAAATTCTCTAAAAAGTTTGACATAATTACACCCTTTATTGTACACAAATTACTCTATTACTAATAAACTATAGTAACACAACATTCTGAAACTATATAAATAGCATACAAGTTATTGTTAGTGTTTATTAACGATGAAATCTTAAACGAGCAATTTTCGTTTAACTGGATCACGAAAAAAAACGTATTATATTTTTTTTTTCATTTCAAATTCAATTATGTATATATCCAAACAGTAGATATTAAACTACTCGTTCATATAAAAAACGATAGTAACTGTTACAATTCGATACACCTAAATATGCAAACATCGTTTACAAAGAATTACATTTAAACTAAAGAAACAAAATTAAAAGCTGTGCAGGTTTGTTTCAATGAAACTAATTTATTTACAAACTTAAATTATATACCCCCATACTGCAGCTTATGATTAAAAAAACAGAATTGAAACGGAAGTTAAACATCAAGAATTTATAGTAGTAGAATTTGTGAATTTGTAAACTTGTACCAACAAATACCGTGATCGTTATTTATTGATTACGATTTGCTACAGTTGTTTTGAAAGTGATTCCAAACTTAACACTTCTCTAACCGATTGGGGAGATCTTCTTCTTCTGCTTTTATTAAACGACACTAAATGTAAGTTAATTTTTGAAGGATATACATAATTAAAGTCACTCATCTTGATAGTCTTATGTGGATTCTTTAGGTCCGTTTCCCTATCAAATACAATTCGTACGATTCCCTTGTTTGAGGAGAATAAAAGGAATTTAATCAAGAAAAAATATTTTTTAGTAACGTTCATAAAATTATACACGAAACAGTCCTGTTTAAGTATTGGTATGTTCATCAATTAGTACTTTTATAACCATCAAGTTATAATGTTAAATTTCAAGAAACGTCCACTTTCAATAGGTTTACAGAGACACGATGAGTATTATTTAAAAATTTCATGTTGTTAATCCACGTATTATAAAAATTATATTTTAAGTTACCGGATGCAATTTACGAAAAGAACGCGGTTTGTGTTAAGAGTTAAGATCGAAAAGTCAATAGACTTGTAATTAATCCTGAATTTGTTTATCTTAGAGTACATACATAAGCCATTTGTTAAATTAGAACTAGACAGCGAATCTTCATGCAAATTCATATTTTTATTAATAGGATTAATGAAATGTGAGCTTCCTAGAGGGTTGTCTCAGCCCCTAAATATAATAATTCGTATCTTCAAATATTTCTTATATTTTTGCATATTAAGTACATTCTGTAGTTTTTTGAAAATTTCTCATAAGTGCATAAATATCCGCAGTCTACTAATAATAAATTCAAAATGGAAGACATTCTAAATAGAATTTGTGACTCTCTATTTTGTGAAATCATAGAAATAGTATTTCATATATATATTTCGTTAGTAATTATTTCACAAAATATTATTTACCTGTCGTATCGTTTAGTCAATTGCATACAAAAAATTAAAACTTATAAACTATTAACTTAGAACGTATAAAAAGAACTTGGTATCTATTAGGATCGTACGGTCCTCGAAAGTTTTAAACGTCAACGTACATTTCCCTAAAATCTTTCCGCTTTCGTTGCAACTGTATAATTTCAATTTCGCTGAAATTTGCGATTCCTGGACACAAGTATACTATATTCCACGGTGTCTCGCCGCTATCGATATTTCGATTCCAGTTTCTTTTACTATCTTACGTTCTCGCGTAACACGAGCGGCTGAAATCTACACGGACGATTGCATTGTCAGAGTCGTTTTCTACCATGTACAAAATCGATTCGAAGAGTGAGTCATGAGAGATAGGTTTTATTGTGTTCCCGTAGACAGAGACGTTTCTCCTGGCCTGTTCATTAGGCAAATTGAATCGACTACGGCGCTTGGGTTCTTCCTCCCAAAAATTTCGGAAAGCTTCTACCCTAATATGAAAGTATCGTCGAGAAGCGATAACAATTTCCTTTCGTCTTCGTCCCGTAGCGACGGAGCTGAGCTGAAACGAGGGCTTTTACGTAAAGAGCGCACAATACCGCGGCAAATAAAAATTACTTTTTCAAAATTGATGCTTCGTGCCGCGCGAGATGACGTCCATTTGCAACGACTGTATCGCGGCCCCACACCCCCCAAGAACTTTCCAAATTGCAGAAATCTGCTTCTACTAGCGTCGTTCCGTAGTTTTTATTCGAGGTTTCACGATTCGCGAGCCGCGCGGTACTTGAAGTAAATTTGAAACGCTGCGCGCGAACCTTTCGCGAAAGAATTAATTTATTTTCGTCGCGACGTTCAAGACACCAACCTACGTACTGAGACTCAATTTTTATAATCAATACGTAGGTTTGAAAAACCTTTTCATTCTGTGATTTACTGTTTGCTTTTCAACCTACAATTGTGGTGGTTGTGTGGCAGTTCTCTATGCTATTTAGGAATTATTTTTATATAAATTATAATTTAAGTGAATCTATACAGGGTGTTCGTTTTAATGGGACATTTTAAAGGCCAAAATAAGATGAAAATCGAGAATATTAATTTGTTGATTGAGGCTTCGTTAAAAAGTTACTAAAAAATTAAATTAGAAAATTTTAAATCGTTCTAAAAAAATGATTTTTGGTTGCAGGGGTCAATTTCAATCATTTTTGGTCAATACACATACCTTCGATATCCTATGCACTATTGAGAAAAAAATTCGAGTAGATGGACAAATTTTATTAGTAATTTTTAACAATAATTTTGTTAATAATTTGTTAACGAAGCTTTAATCAATAAATTAGTATTTTTGATTTTCGTCTTATTTTGGCCTCTAGAATCTCCCATTCGAATTTTTTTCCCCGACGTGGCCAAACATATAAGTACTGACAAAATACTAGAAGTATAGAAACTAGTAAAAGTTACTATTAAAATTATAATATTCCAAATTGAATAAATTCATTTAGACATATTCATCTTCATTCCTGTATCTTTGGTTAATATACAAAGATCTTTGAACTTAAAAATAATTAAAACTTGCATGAGATCGACTACATGCTATTTATAATTCTATCTCAATAATAAAAACCTTTATATCTTCAAAGGAATTTATTAAAATGATTTAAAATTAGTTATTAACACTATAATAAATTATAGAATATTGTACACAAATTCATCTTCATTTCTGTATTTTTGGCTAATATACAAAGATCTTTGAATTTAAAAATAATTAGAACTTGCATGAGATCGACTACGTACTAATTATTGACAGTTTAATTAGTGTCTCGATACCAAAGACAAAATAACGAAAATGTTAGAGAAAATTAGTAGTGACTATTTTGTACCCCTAAAAAGTACAGACGTAATTAAAATGAAGTAAAATATCAAATTCGTTTGTGTCCATATAATTTATGTATTGGATCCGTTTTATTTTCGTTGCTTGAATTATTTATCATTTAAAAAAAACGATCGAAACACATGATAATCTGATGGCGCAAAGTTGGGAGATCATAGTAAATCGTTAATTACTTCCCAACCCAAATGTTGTCATGGTGGAAAGCAATCTCTCTTCTGTTAACGAGCGCGGGCATTTAATTCTTAAGCACAGTGCTTAACTTGATCAATTGCTAACAATACCGTTCAGAATTTATGGTTTTACCTTCTTTTAACAGTTTACGTCAAATCTGGAATTTTCTATCTTTTCATACATGCAATATAACATTTTTTTTATGCAACTCACGTTAGCTGTTCATGTCGATACTTCTGATTTACGATAATTTATCTGAAAACGACCCGTTATTATAACAAATAAAAAGGTAGAAACAATTTCTTATTTGGTCTGATCAATTCTTTCCTGATATTTCTTAGACTGATAAACACGATGTTTGAGTTCGATTGGAACCGTGATAGTGAGCGGACGTGTTCGTCTACACCGTGCGTGCCAATCAAATCTTATATGTATTCATGATAGTCTGTGTTACTGTGAATTAGTGAACATTAGTAAATTGTTATAAACCAACCTCTTAACCCATCTCTACGCCATTCTCGGTGCAACCTATTCACCGAAATGGCTTCTGACCCCGAAAATATTGTACCCCAAACTGTTAATAATAATCCTAACGCACCACGACGAAGCTACAATAAAGTAGTACAAAGTGATTGCTTCCCCAAAAAAGATCAAGCGATCGTAATCGACGCCAAAGATGGAATTCAATTAAAAGATTACGCTCATGCATTAGGCAGAATTACCAATCCAGCGAATATTAGATTTATGTCAAGAGTATCCAACGGTA